TTGGCCCCAGATATATTGTTACTGGTCTTGAAATTAGAATGTCAAGCCAGTGTGTTGTTTGAAAATGTCTGACCTTCATGCTTTACTGCCCCCCATTGTTCTGACGTATACCAAAATAGGAGGTCCTTGACTCCTTGTTCCTTTAGGTGGTGTATGCATCTTTCTCATTACTGTCTTATGCTTGTAGAGAGGACATGCATCATTTTATTGAATTTCATATCTTTCAGATCAAAAAATGAACCAGCACAATACCAGGAGGGATATAACAAGCTAAGGTCTTGGACTTATAGCTCTCTTGATTTATACAAGGTAACTAGCTTTTCGGTTACATCGGTTCTATGATTGTGCTATGAGCTGAGTTTTTGCATTTCTACCTCATTATCAAAAATGTCTTTTTAACTGATCATGTTGCTGTTGTCTTATAGAGGCTGGTTAGATTTCACTAGATTCTGTTAGCTTGAAGTCTGTGTGAAAATACATTGAGATAGGTGTTTGAGTCATCTTGTCACTTTTAGGACAATTTATTTATTTATTTTGAACATTCCCTTTGAGTAACTTTCTGGACTAAAATACTGTTATGTTGAAGTTGGTTGGAGGAGATTGATACTGTTTTTTTTTTTGTGGGTATTCCTGGGGACGAGAAGTAATTACTTTCGGAGTTCACTTTTTGCATCATTTATGTACTTTGTAGTGTTATTGATTCTGTAGAAAATGCCTCCCTAATACTCTCTCCTAATTGAATCAGGAGTTAGATGGCCCATAATTATTACCTGATTAAGGAAAAGTTTTTAGGATAAGATAGACATCAATATACTTGAGCAGAATTCATTATCAAGTATCAACAATGAAGGAATTTAGACATGGTACTTTCCAATTCTTGTTGAAAATTCCTTCGGTTTCTTTACAAGTGGGCCCCGTATTTAAATTAGACATGTTAGGATTGGGTCATTACATGCTATTGCATAAAGTATGGAAAATTCTCGAAACCAATGCTCAACAGGGGGTTGAGCCCTAAAACCTCCATGGGGCAAAATCAGTTAATAAATTCTCTCATGGCCTTTCCCTCTTTTCTTTTAGTAGAGTTAGGTAAAGCAAGAACTACTGACAAGCATGATTTTCCATTTTTCAAACTTATTTAAGGCTTCTATTTGGTTACGACTCACTACTGTTAATGTTGCAGTCATGGTTCAAAGTCGCGATATCGGTCCTTGACTCAGAGGCCACTGAGACACATCGGTCGCGGCGCAGTATCGGCCGATACGCCCAAAATACCATATAAAGGCTTAAAAAAAATTTGAAAAAATTAGAAAAAATTGTAATAAATATAAACATCATTATCTATGTATCATATTCCTAAAAGACATTATTTAACACATTAATCATTGCCAAAAAGAATAATAAGTATCCTGTCGAAAAATATTTATTATCATCTATATTCAAGGATAATATAATATAATTTATAATTTTTAAAAATTATAAAAAAATATAAGTGTATATATATGGTTAACTTAATAGCTTTAAAAATAAAAATCTATTTATAAAGAAATTCTTCATTTAATATGTATCTAATTAGAAATTATATGTATTTTCTCCATAATGCACATTTATTTATTAAATCATCAATACATATACAAAAGCAAACTTAAGAAGTTAAGTTCTAATTAGATTGTATGATAAATATTAAAAATTATATAATTAAAAAAATTGGGCTAAAACCGAAAAAACAAAGAGAAAGGGGGGGAGAATAAATTTTTAGGTCTTTTAGGCCAAAGCCTCCCGTATTTTGACTCAAAAAAAATACTCTCTCTCTTCAACTCTCAGTCTTCGACGTAGAGAGAGAGAGAGAGAGCATCGAGAGAGAGCACAAAGACGATGGGTCTGGGAGGCTCGCTGGTCGCTGAAGGCTCACTGGGAGGCTCGCTAGGGTTTCAACAATTGATTTGCAATGTTGATCGATGATGCTGGGTCCTCTATTACTGCGAAGAAGAAGGAAAGTAAGAACAAATAGTAGGAAAGGGTCTCTGATTAGGGAGATTTACCACAATTGTTTAGGTTTGTGTTCAATTTTCTTCTAACTTGTTTTGTTTTTTTTATGGTAAAAAAGGGTCTGATTTAGGGTTCAATTTCTCATCTTTTTGTCTTTTTTTTGGCATTTTTTTTGTTGCTTGAAAGTTGGTGGACGATTTTGTGCGTATTAGTTCGATTCGAAGTGAATCGGCCGAGTTTGTCGAAGTTGAATTCGAGTTAGACCGAGTCAGAACCAATTCATGGTAGACGTGATAATCTTGTATCATGTATTGTTATCGAATCGATGCCTGCCGGGGCAGATACGACTCGGTCGATACTTTGAACCTTGGTCGTAGTGGGGTAATTGGAGAATTACAAAATGGCTGGTGAATGAGAAAAGGGGAGTATTACATAAGGTGAGGTCCACGAGGAGCTTTTACATGGCTTGGGACTATGCCTTTGGTGTCATCAATGCTATAGCAGAATAAGTAAATAAATAGGTGGCGGTGACATGACCTGGTTGTTTGGTCAAATCATTATATGAAGCGTAGGGCTAAATATTAGATATCTTCCATAAGAGTGTCCGTGAATATCTCAAACAACTTGCAAGTTGGTCTAGATGGCATGAAGCTATGTGGTCCTCCCAAAATTTTTACTGTGTGCCCCCCCCCCCGTTCTATCACCTGTACGGGTGAAATGGAAAACTAGTTGTTGGATCCTACTAATAATTTTTTTGATAAGAAACAAAATTTTATTGATAATTAAAATGAGATAGTATATACTCAATTTTTTTTGAGCTATGAGAGCTCATGGAATTTATTTATTAGGCATTATTTGTTTATTATTTATTTATTTATTTAATTGTTTGTTTGTTTATTGGTTATTTATTTATGTTTGTTTATATTTATTTATTAGATATTAATTTAAGAATATTAGATTTATGTATGAATGCTAGAAGAGTGGATTTGAAACTGGTTAATAATGTTGTGGTCAATATACAATTACTTAAATTAAGAGGAGTAATCACGAATATTAAATTCTTACAAAGGTAGAAGTGTAATAGGTGTGGTATGTGTAGGTAAATGTAGTAGATGTGGTTAAGTCATAAGTGTAGTAGTTGTGGTAGGTGTGTTTAAGTGTAGTGGGTGTGGTAGTTGCGATTAGGGTACTAGGTGTGGTTAAGTGTTGTAGTTGTGGCATGTGTGGTCAGTGTGATAGCTGTGGTTTTCCACTATAAATAGACCGTCCCACCTCATTTTCATACATTAATCACATTTTCTCAAGCCAAACAATCCTTGACTTGAGAGAAAAGTGGGAGAGAAGGTTAGTCGAGGTTTTCGGATCCGAGATTCTTACAACACAATTTTCCGTTATCTTTTATCTTTGTCGGTAGGATTTCTTTTCTCATGCACTAACATTGATGCATCTCATGCATATTTTGGGATTCTATATCAAATTGTTGTTGAATATATGATGACTATATCTTGTATCTCATTATTCATTGGGTTAAATTGGGATCTTATTGAATACTTGTAAGACAGGGTTGAACCCCTACGCCTATTTTGGAACAACTTTGCAAGTTAAATGTTTTGGATTTCATTAACTTGGGAATATGTTACTTTTGTGATATATGGCAAATCGGTGGGTCTTGGGAGGTTCCATTGGATTCCTACTAAACTTAAAGAGGCTTGGTTAATGGTATTGAATTTTGTGGTAGCCTATGTGGCACCACAAATTTCCAATACTGGTTTATCTAAATAATAATGTTATTTGGACTTAATTTGCTGATTTAATTCAACTATTGGATTGGTTGTGGGTCCCAACCAACTAATATGAGGGATTATTATCAATCCAATGATTATAAATAATTAGGTCAACAAATTATGTCCAAGTATCTATAAATTTTTTTTTATGTCAAAGTAATATTGCTCTTCTCTAAAAAACAAGAAGCGCGTTGTGATCCCTAGGGTGCAAAACTCAAAAGCTCCCCGGGGGTTGGTCATTTCGTTCACGCGTGAAGTGATAGGGGATGAATCCCCAACTTTGATACGTGTGCCATTTATGAGATTTTAGTATTATGGATGTCTGGATTATTATATAGACCTCATTATTTTTAAACGTCGGATTCTGCTCATTGTCTTGCATGTTTTGAACTGTATATAGATTTACATTACTTCAAGATTTATGTTGCTTATATTATAAATATTTCATCCCATTGGTTTTAACACCTTGGTGGTGTTTGAGCAAAGTTATCCAGTTGGGCTAGTTAAGCTCATCCCTAGTTACAGTTTTTAGAGATAGGATTGGAGACGGAGGAGATAGTTGAGGATTATCATCTAGTAACTTCCTTTCATGTTCAAAAAAAAAAAAATCTGGTAACTTAGTATTCCCATATTTGTCAGATTAAGGGAGACTGTATTGAAATTAATTTAGAGATTTGGGTTTGTAAACTTTATTGAAGGATGACGGTGGTTGTATGTTATGGTATAGATATTTAGTTTGATGTGAATGGATTTTAAGCTTCTACGGGTTATGCTCTTGCCATTATGTCAGATGCCTATTTTCAAACTAAAGCTCAATTGGATTTTTGATTAATGTTTTCTTTTAATAACAATTTTCTTTAGATTTTCAATTCAACCTAGTGAGCTTATTTGTAGGAAATGTATTTTTTTTTAACTCACCCCTATGCAATTTTGGGGCGTGACAGCATATCAGTGCTTAGACCTTATGACCACAATGCCATATGATGCTATCTGACTCACTATAAGTTTACATCCTGATTTTGTCACCAGTCGACTTTGATTTTAAGTTTGCAGCCTGGTCTCTTATCAAAAGCTAAAATTGCAACTGGTGTGCATTTTCCTTTCGCTTTCCTTTCACCCGTACAGTTATTTCTAGATTGAATATCTGTGTCATAATCAATTTTGAAGTTCTTGCCTGGAAAACCTGGCAGACTATTCTAAAGTTCATTTATTTTGGTTTGTATTTCTACCATGCAGCATGAGTTGCTACGAGTCCTCTATCCAGTGTTTATCCACTGCTTTATGGATCTCGTGTCAAAGGGTCATATCCAAGAAGGTATAAGTTGTAGTTGTGGTATTTCATCTTACTTTTCATCTTACTGCATACATTCCCAATTGCCCCATAAAAATGACAAGTATTTGAGTTTACTTTTAACAACTATGCTTGAATTGCTAGCTCGAGCTTTTTTCAATAGCTTCCGAGAAGACCATGAGATGATGCATTTACGTGACCTCCAAAAATTGGAAGGGGTTCTTTCTCCCTCTCATCTGGAGGTAATTCCTATGCTATACCATCATACCGCATTTGGAGTTTTGGTATTTGGTTTTGAAAATCTTTCCTGAGTTTTGGTATTTTGTTTTGAAAATCTATCCTTAATCTTTTGGTCATTACGATGTAGGAGATGGAGTTTGCTCATTCTCTAAGGCAAAGCAAAGTGAACATAAAAATATGCCAGGTGATTACTTCATCCTTGGTCATTGATATGTGCTTGTAAGTCTAGTCATTACACATACATAAATATTATATATTCTTTTACTTGGGGAAGACCATCCAGTTGTGCTTTCCAAATTTGATTATACACGTTTGGGCCTTTGGCATTCTCATGCTTCTATGGTTCAAGGTTGCGGTATCAGCCATCGACTCGGAGGAACTTCGGTCATGGCATCACGTCGTGGTATCGAGTGATACGAATTGAAGGAAGAAGTTGAACATGACGAGAGATTCAGATTATATTGTGACGTTGCGGAAGGGTATTGGCCGATTCCGTAGCGATAACTCGGTGATTCGACGAGTGGTGCAAGGCTCAGAGTTTATATGTAATGTGTACTGGTACCAACTTGGAAGGTGCCGAGTCAGATAAGACTTGTATCGGCATTGACCGATACTTTGAACTTTGCACGCTCTAGATGATTCATGATATACAGAAACATTTTTGATAGTGATGCTTTTCATAACTTTAATTGTTGGTGTGGCTTGCAAATTGGTAAATTGAAACATGGATCAAACGCCAGTTTGAATCTGATCATTTTATTTTGGGCCATCTATATCATTGGCATGACTTACTGCAATTTCTATCTTCAAAATGCATACCCATGAATTTGAAAGATATAGGCCAATTATTTTTTTTTAGAAATTTTTTCCCCTTGATTGGACATAAAATGCTTCTGAGCTGCACTTCAAAGTTTCATAATTGCAAAGTTGGTACCAATGTTATTTGGATCGTGGTTCGCTTTGGTACGTAGTATGTGTACGGGTATATGTTACGACATTTTTTTAGGTACGCGGTACGATGAGGTTAGGTTTAGTTGGTACGGTATTTTGAGTCGTAATATGTTTTAGAACTCTTATGTAGATCGTTTTCACTATTATACAACATTATATATTATAAATGTACATAACATTCATAAACACTAAGTTACTTACCATTCATCTAATAGTTGTGCTTGATTTTCTATTATCTAAAACAATATATAATTTTAAATCTATATACATGTAGTCAATTAATAAGTATTTTATATTTGTGTTGCATGTTCTAAAGCGAATTGATTTAGGATTAGTATTACAATTTGGGCTAGTACATTTTGGTGATCTGGATCATGAACTCACCTCGTTTGGGATTGATGTACCCAGATCGTGGGTCGTTAAAGGTTTAGTAAATTGTGTTAACCATGGTTAGTACGCTATTTCACAACTTGATTGGGATTTATAAGTAGAAAGTCTGAGGCTTCTTCAGCCTTCCTTGATCTGCAGTTGGTTGGTGATAATCCCTTGGAATGGAAGGGTATGTGTATTGCAGCAAGTTTAGAAATGTAGGTTGAGGTTGTATATCAAATTCATGTTGAGTAAACAAACTAATAATAGATGTCTGCCAATTAGTTTTACCTCAATCAGTATCTGGAAGACATCTTGACTAAACTTAGCTCAAGAGTTGGGAATTAGACTTCACATAATTGATTTTGATATTTAATTATGCTTAAAATTGTTGTGTTCCAATGTTCTTATTCGTCCAGAATTTACAGAAAATGAAAAGAGAAACGACATTTCTTTCATTTTTTAATAGTCACTTTTCTTAACTTTCTGGTCACTGCTGGGAGAACTAGTTCTTTTTTTTTTTTTTTAGTAAATCAGCTAGGATGTGGTGAAATTTTCCTGTGCATGCAGACCTTTGTTTATCATTGTTTGCTTGCTTCATATGAAATAGCTTTTTCATAATTGATTTCATTGGACCAAGCTCTGTCACCTGGGGGTCCATATACAAAGGAAAAGCTGAAACTGAGTGTCACTTTTTTCCAGTACTCTTATGATCTTCTGCTGCAATATTTGCACAAAACACAATCCATTATGGTTCTTGGAATTATCAACGAGCGTATCAACTTTCAAGGTACAGCTGCTGTTTCTTGAATTGCAACATATTTAAATACTATTAAATTTTCTGTCCTGTACATAAGAATTTCAATTGTGTTAATTTTCTGTCAAATATTAAAACAATGTATTGAGCTCATGATATTGTTGACAGTTTCTCCTGGACAGCCAGCCTCAATTTCTGATGATGCTGAAGTTGTTACACTTGTTGGGAGTGGGCAGGATGCAGCTAATCTGCTAAATCAAAAAGAAATACATTGGGGAGTAAGTAAATAGAGCAGTTCAGTTCATCTCTCTCTCTCTCTGAGTATGATAGGTCCTTGTTTGGTAATCTCATTGTATGGTCTGCTGATTGTAATCATCATTGGTTAGCATTTTTGATTATTGTCTCTATTTGTTGAGACAAGGATTGCTTTAACATCCACTGAAATTATGGTTACAAGCAATTCTATATAATGTTGGCTAGTGGTGGATGGTGTTACTGATTTGTGGAGCCTCCTTTGAGTATATCGGAAGCCATATAATGTCATATTTTCATTGAATAAAAGAAGCATAACTACCAGACAGAATAAAGTAGGATGATTTGACCCCAAAGGGAAATCAGGATGCAAAAAGGGATCCAAATAAATAGCCGCTTCTCTAAGGTCTATTTTTTATTTTTGATATTTGAATAGGTGTATTTGAATTGTCAATGTGACCAGTGCATTTACGGGTTCATTTAAAGCATCAGAATAGCATCTTGATTTTCCATTTCAATATTCAGAAGGTTTACTAGGTTGTCATTTTTCCAATTGTTGGTACTTGAGAAGAGTTGGGCTGCCAAACAGCCAAACTTCTTATAAAGATAGTTTGGTGGGAATTGATGTGAATAAAATTAAGGAACAGATTCAACAAAAGCTTGCAATGTAGTTCACATTGTTAGTCAGACATTAGGATGCAGTTGTTGCAATTTGTGTATTTGTGTCTTTTGACAAGTATCGAGTGTTCACATGCTAACAGGGTTATAAGAACTAAACCACATGATTCTGTATCTTCCCCCCTTTTTCCTTTCTGGAAATTTTTTGTCTAGAACTACTCCCGCAGGTCATATTGTGTCTGGATTTTGGGTACAGTATGCACCCTTTTTAGATTGATTGCAGTTTTGACAACTTATAATTTGGTGGTTCCATTTGTAGTAACTTTTTTGCTTTTGTTTTTGTCCTTGAGAAGAAGATGATATCTCTATAAACAATGCAGCTCTAATATGTTAAAAAGTTACTTATTCTTCATTAACTATATAATTTTCAACAGTTGCTTGAAGATTCTTTAGAAGAGCGTTTAGAGAAAGGTTTGCTTTCTGATTCAGAAAAGATTGAGGGAGAAACCAAAGAAGGGGAATTGGAAGAGCCCAAGGTACTAGACATGCGTATATGTCATCACAATATTTGATAGCTTGTATTTTACTCTATTTTACCATTTTCTTTTATGATTGTAGGTTCTTTTTTTTTTCCTCCTATGAATTCATTTTATGTTTCTTCAGAAAAGATCAGCGGAGGGGGGAAAGCAAGGGGCTTCAATCAAAAAGTCAAAAAAGGACAAAGTTGTTGGTGCAACAGTGAAAGCTTCTCGGACTGAGGGAAACACAGTATCTGTGGCACCACGTGTCAAACCAGAGCTCATGTTGCCAATAATGTATCTCCGAAATTCCCTGTTTCAAAGAAAAGTGTGTTTTTTATTTTAGTTTATAAGTTTATTAAATAGAGCATCTATAATTATGCAATATATCAGAATAATAATTATTTTTTTTGTCACCTGAAGTAAATCTTATAGCTAGTTCTATATCACAAGTTTTTTGACAGATGGGTCATTCAGTCAATAATCAACATTTCTTGTATGCTCAGAAAGCATATGCATTTATGGTAATTCCTTGTGTCCTCCCATGTTCTTCACTTCTTTAATGAAACCATTGTATAGAAATAAGAAAATATAGCATTTTAATATGATTAATGCCAACACTTATGCTTTTTTTTTTAACAATATAGGAAAGTCATATTTTATAAATTTTTGTTGTAGATGTCTTGTATTCCACTCCTAGTATGAAACTGGTTATAAATTTCTTCTCCTTGGAGATTTGAAAAAGCGTGCATCTTAGATCTCTACTTCAAGTAAAAGACTAATTATAAACCTTATTGTATTAGGAGGCAAAGTATTTTGGGTCCATAAATAGATTATAATAGACCATTAAGTTTCTTTTGGGGATTTTGACCCCCACTTTTGGGCATCCATATTGAGTTATATTCTTTGGGCTAGAGAATTTTGTGTAATCTCCTCAAGCTGATCCATGTATATTTGTGTGTTTTGTATTTTTCTATATCGTTCCACTTATTGTTTATGACTTTTGTTCATAACAAACTGGTATCAGAGCTTTGGTGTTGAGATGGCTACAAAACAATTCAATTTAGAAAAATTGTGTTAAGAACAGTTTTACTCTATAGCGGATACAGATGCATATCGTTGCGTTGATGGAATAATTTGATTAAAGTTCTTGATGAGACATTGTGATCATCGCCGATAAAGATTCAATATATTTATTATTCTTGAGAAGGCTGCAAGTTGTATTCACTTTGTTTTAATGATTTAGTGGGCACATTGGTCAAGATTTGTTATGGATACTTGTGTTATCCCTTTATGGGATTTGTGGATAAGGTAGCTAGTTTGTGCACTTCTATTTTGTTGGCTTGATGGAATACAAACTAAGGTGGAGGTTTATTGTGGATATCTTGTATTCCATTCTTAGTAGGAAACTGGTTTGAAATTTGTTTTTCTTAGGGATTTGAAAAAGCGGACGTCTTTGAAATTCGCTTAAAGTAAAAGACCAATTACAAACCGTATTGTATTAGGAGATAGTATTTTGGGTCTATAAATTATAGACCAATCATTTTCTTTTGGGGATTTTGGCCCCCTCAGTTTTGGGCATCCTTGGGTTTATATTCTTTGGGTTGGAGAATTTTGTGTAATCTTTCTTTTGTTGAGAGTGAAACTTTATCCTTGTATTTCACCCATAGAATAGGCTTTTGAACCGATCCACGTATATTTGCGTGTTCTGTTTTTTTTAAAGGCTATAAACAATAAATGGAAAGAGATAGAAAAGTACAGTACGCAGTATGTGAATTGGTTCAAAAGCCTACTCCACGGGCGAAACGTAGTGAAAAAGTTTCACTATCAATAAGAGGGAGACTGCACAAAATTCTCTAGTTCAGACTTCAGAGAATATAACCCAACATGGATGCCCAAAACTTGGGGTCAAAATAAATTGAGTGGTCTATAATCTATTTATAGACCCAAAATACTTTGCTTCCTAATACAATTTGGTTTGTAATTGGTCTTTTACTTGAAGTGGAGTTTTAAACGCCCACTTTTTCAAATTTCTAAGGAGTACAAATTTAAACTAGTTTTCTACTAGGAGTGGAATATAAGACATCCACAACAAATCTCCACCTTGCCTTGTATTTCATCACGCCATCAAAACAGAACTGAATGAACTAGCTGCCTTCTCTACAAATCCTATAAAAAGTTAACACAAGCATCCATAACAGTTTTGTTAATCAAATGTTGGCATATCTTGTTTCGATCACATCTTTATACTCATAGACATGGTGTAAGGAGCATCAGAGACATTGCCATAAGAGGGTCAAAACACATGTTCAATAGTATTCAAGGCATGTCTATCACCAGTTTGTGCTCGACATGGACGCAACAATTTTTGGTAGTGTTCATGTTTCTTAGGTTTGGATGTAAGCCCTTTAAGAGGACACTATTTGTCAAAAATATAGAAGATTAATGTTGTTTTCATGATCAATGATTTTTTACAGCATTTTCACCTTCCCTAGAATGTCGGTGTGAAGGATGAGGCATAGGTTATTTTTAGGCTTGGTTTATTGCCGTGGTTGTGTCAGTTATTGGAGGTAGTAGAAGTCATTTTATTGATGCCAGTGGTTGTGACTCCATCAGATCTGTTGGGGATCCAGGACAAAAAGTGAAACTCACTCTTCCTCTTAACATTATTAACATGCTTTCTTCATTTTTGCTTCCAAAAGGAATATAAGTTATTTCACAGCATATTATGTTGTGCTACTTTGTTTAGTTTCATGGAATATGTAACTGGAAATGAATACATGCCACTTTGTAAAGTTTATTGATATCTTAAAGGAAACATGAAAAACATTGTATAGCAACTTTGGTTTGAGAAGTGGGAATAACATAGTAGACATTTAAAAGAAGGAACATGGCACATGAATTTCAGTCACTTTCTTGAGGGCGAATCTTTGTAAGCATGTTATTTGAGAGTATTTCTTCTTTAATTTTAAAGTTAATTTCCAACAATTGCCATCACTCGCTTTTTTCTTGAGTCTCTTCTTGCACTCACCTTCTCTTTAAAAAAGTAGAGCATCAAAATAAATCTTTCTGATTTGTTTCTCGTTATAGTAGTTTGTAAGTAAACTACATTCGTTTGTACAGTATTATTTTTCTCCATCTCTGTTAATATTTATGTAGTGCATATAAATGTGTGGATATCTACTAATGGACATACACACACACAGCCACCCGCTTGCAATTGCATGTTGCACGCCCATGCACAAGCCATTTGCACCCAGACTGCCAGACAGTCCCTTCAGTGCTTTAAAGTGGCGTAAGGGGGAATAAAACACCTGCAAAAGCAACCTTTCTTTTTCTATTACCCTTCTTGTTGAATCATTTTTTAAGGGTGGGAAATATGCATTGGATGATATTGCACAGAGTTCATCGTAATTTATGCTCTTCAACGTCAACTGTGATTATGATGCTATCATGAAAGGATTTGTTTTATATTAGCTTTGGTAGGGTTGAGGGCTGAGGAACAAATGCTGATGTTATGTTGTCCATCTCAGGCCAACAGAAGTAGAGCATTCTATTCTTGAGGACCTACGGAACCGTGTACAGTTGAGTAGTATCGTGCTGCCTTCAGTCAGCTTCTATACGTTTATTAACACGCATAATGGGTACGCCATTCAATTGAGAAAGTTGTCTTCTCTGACTTTTTTTTTCCGACTTCTGTTTGTGCACAACCATTGATCTTTGTGTCAAATGTGTTGCAGTTTGAACTGTTCATCGATTTCCGCTGATGGATCGTTTGTTGCTGGTGGATTTTCAGACTCATCACTAAAGGTTTCATTGTTTCTCCTTATAGTTTGCTTAATCGATATGTACTTGGTTTTGGTGTTTGCAATGTACTATCTGTGTTCTGCAGGTTTGGGACATGGCAAAGCTTGGTCAACAAACTGGCAGTTGTAAGTCTCTCACTATAGTTTCCGCTTTCGATTTGATAATGCATTTGTGTGTTATGCTTGGAAACATTTTGCTATATCTGTTACTCCGTCTCTTTCGAAACATCATGGTGCATTATATCAATTTGTGTGGTTAAGAAATTACAATTTTGGAGAATAATTGAATCATCTCAATTTAAAAGCCTAAGTTATGTTAAGGGGCAATGCTCTTGATGTGCTAGGGGGAGATTTTTTCGTTTGATAAAATATAATATTCTATGGGCTATTCTTGTGCTGTATAACGTGAGCTGTCAGGTGAAAAATCTCAGACAACTATTTTCCGCACAGATCGCTCTATGAATTACCAGTACCTAAGTCTCTTTTTCTCGGTGACCCTTGCAATTCAGTCTATAGTAGGCCAAATTCTTCACTGAAATTCTTATTCTTGTGTTGTATAACAGCTGTTAGTTGGAAAATATCTGTAGTATCTGATAAATTCTGGACTTATGTCCTAGATCACACAGGGCGAGGGCGGGAGTGGCAAAATTCAAAAAATTATGAGAGCGGGAGCGCCTTGAGAACGTCATTACTCATTACTAAATAAATATATACATATATATATTTATATTATATAAAAGTTATTGAAAATAGATTTTAAAAAGTAAATTTTTATATACAAATATATGATAAATGAGTAGAGAAAAAAAAGTAAAGAAACCAATTAAAAAAAAGGAAAGAAATCGGTTCCAAAAAAAAAGGTGAAGGGAAAGCCTTGAGGCATTGCAAACCTTGGGTTTCAATCCCACATCGAAAATACAAGGGAACGGGGAAAGGTATACTTGCTTATATATAGGTAGTGGTCCTATATATATAGGTAGGCATGGCTTTCAAATTGGGAAAGAGTGTGCTGGGGGCACCGTGGACTTTTTACCCCCCAGGGCCCATAGTGACCAGTTGTGGCTTTAACCTTAGGAGTTCCCCTTTTGACCTTGACTGTTGCACTCTTCCTCAAGGGCCGTGACCAAGATGTGTTTGAAGAAATGTCATGTTTGTCTAATTAATGCTAGGATACGTGGCTCGTGATGAGCAGTCACCGGTATCGCAACAGTCGAGACAGTTGCCAGTTAGCGCAAGTGTTAGTACAATGCTGACCTTCGTACAAGGGAAATGACAAGCAACCCATGGGACACCCTAACGTGCCCGAGTACTACGCTATAAATTCTTACATTGCTTGCCTCCGCAGGACACAAATCTATCTGGTCTAAGATAGGCATCTTGGCTGGTAAGGGCATTTACCCTCACGACTTACCCAAGAAACGTTTTGCATAGGCAGCTCAAGTCTTTCCATTCCATCCATTGGTCCCACTCATCCCTTTGAGTACACTTGGCATAGACTCATGTGTCAACCTCTTTTAACCACTCACCTACAATTATTTTTTGGACTGACCGCTCTATGAATTAATGTTAACTTAGTTTCTTTTTAGTAGTAATTCTTACAAGTTAATCTGTAGTATTCCAAATTCTTGAGTGAAATTCTACATTTAAGCTTGTTCAAATCAAGCCATGTTTTCATGTGTGGTGATATCTTAGGGCTTGTTTGGATGACAGTAATCTTAATTAGGAATGGGTATCTCATTCCTAGTAGTGAGATACCAAGGTATTAATTATCATAGTAATCGTATATTTAGTGTTTGGTTATTGTCAGTAATCTAATGTGAGAATTAATGTCATTGCCAAATTATGTTAGGAAATAATTTGATTTTAGAAAGGAGATTGATTTTAGGAGAAGAACTTAATTTTTGAAATAAAGTTAATTTTAGGAAGAAGTTTCATTTTGGGATTTTTATTTGTTTTATAGAATACCCAATCAATGTAGGAATGAGATTACCACCATTGGCCATGGGTTTAGGATACCCATCATTATTGAGAATTGAATTACGGTAGTAATCTTCTTCCCGAGTTAAATTACTAAATAATTGAATCTCCAAACATGGTAATTTAGGATTTAGGAATGAGAATCTCATTCCCAATCAAGATTACCGCCATCCAATCAGGACCTTAGTTCTTTGATAGTAATTGACAAGGTATGAAGTGTTGGCCTTAATAGATGTGTCAGCAGGCCTTAATAAAAATTGGTAGACATACTTACAACTTATTATTGGCAGACATCGTCCATGCTCTCATATTGCTGTGCTCATGTAGCAAGCATTCTCAATATTATGCATTGAAGAGGACTCGAACCTCCATTCTTTAGCACACGTTTTGAGTTTTGCATTGCCAAAATTCACCATCAAAGCATCTGCAAAAGAGAACCACAATTTATAAATATGGCATATATCTAGATGTATATACAGAGAGAGAGAGAGTTTTATGTATGAGATATACAGCCCAGGATGAAGTGTTAGAGTATCTCTGTTGATTGGCCTTGTCATATGGGGCTAAGTTAGACATCCAGTTGCTTCATTGGAATCCTTAACAGAATATGTTGTATTGTTATTAAATATATCGAAACATCGGGTAATCAAAACTATTTCCCAATCCAATAAAAACCCGAAGCGGTGAATAAGGTCCTAAATTGTGAGATTTATCAACGTCAGAAACCGAAGTTTTGGATAATTGAGAAACATTGCAGGTGTATTTAACATCGTAAATGGCTTTTAAAGTTTCACACAATTCTCCAGACGCAATTCATCCCTTCACTTCAAAGGTTGTTAGTCTCTCGTAATAATATCAGCATTATGATTCCCAATCCATTTAGTTTGACCTAAAATGACCCAAAAAATAGTGCCTGTGTCTAGCACTGTTGAAAGACCAACATTACCATGATGCCTAAAGCCTAAAAATATGTTAATTGAATAATCCCAGCAGCTTTTTGGCCTAAATTTCATATCAAATCAGATTTTAATTTAATCCAAAGTTTATTACACATGCTCCAAAAGTTTTGCATACGTGTACTTTTGAAATTTCCTTCTTTCTTATTTGCATTCTGTGCATCATCTTGATCCAACTCCATGTCCTGCGAGGCTGCAACATTAGCCTTTTGGAACCTTGAATATATGGTAGACAATGTTTTTCTCAAATTCACGAATATATCATGGCCAAAAGTTGTGCCATGAATCATGATTTTGTCTACTATACACATATAGATATGTTTTTATATATTATGCTGTGTCCTTGATGCAACCTTGTCCAATTGTTTTTTACAGAAATCTTTTACTGATTTATTTATGTGCTCTTGGATTTGTATCTTGTGTCCGTATGCATACTTTATATGTCACAAGGTATGTTCCAAGACTCTGTGACTGACAACACTGGAGTTCTAGTCAATTCCAAGAAATTACGAAAAATCTTTTGTTAAGATATAGTAGACCACAAAATGGTTTTAATTTATGCTTTGCAGAACAAAATCACTATTCATGTATACATTGCAAAAGATTTTAGGATCTAGTATTCAATGAATGCCAAAGGTGTCACATCTCTTAAATAAAAAACCAACTGTATTCCTCCCTGTTAGGGTTGAAATTTTCAACATATATTCTGACAATGTGCTTGCATTTCCAAGATGAGAGGGTATGTTTTTTGATAGTCTTTAAACTCACGAAGCAGTCAATTCATCTAAAAAATGCCTTCCAATGGTTGGTGTCGCCAACCAGCTCTCATTGTATGCTGTGTTCCTCGCAATACCATATCTGCTAGCCCTCAACATATCTTAATACTATGTTTATTTACCTTTTTATGGTTAGTATGTGACCTGTTTCTTTTTGATAGGTATTAATATTGAATAAGCTGATTTAGATCAGTAGGGTTAATTGTATCATGACATTAATACAATTTGTTAGTTGAGGTCACTCATCTGAGACGTCGAGTTACTTCACAATTTACAGATAATTCTGATCACCTAGTCTAATTATTTAGTTTGAGACCTAGAGACATGTTATACCTCTCAACATCATCGGATTGGGACTTGCTTTTGACCTATGAATCACGAATACTTCATCATACTTTGTTTAGTGTTGAAGTATCCATATCTAATACGTATTAGATACAGATATGCCTCAGATATACCTGGATACAGTCAGATACGCCTTGGATATTTTTCAAAATAATTTTTATTTTTGGATACATTTGGGATACGACAAGAATAAGTGACTGATATTTTTAGGATATGACAAGGATCCTCTAGGGCCAAAAACATTGAATATTACCTTTTTAAAAAAAAGCCATTGAAGTAAATAATGGAAGTAACTATTTTTTTTTTTGAACAAAAATGAGAATTTGTCCAAGAAAAACATATGATTTTGACTTCAAATGGTTGGCCTATTTAGCATGTTGTTTTTGGACATAATTAGCTTATACCATGTCATAACTCGCACATTTAAGATTTTATCCATCCATAAGTGAAAGCAAGAGACTGATCTAATACCATGTCATTACTCTCACAATTAAGATTTTATCCATGCATAAGTGAAAGCATGGGACTGATTTGAATATCTTATAAGTTATAACAATTTGTTATATCTATACATATTTATATATGATATGTTCAAATGTCCATTTAATTCTTGATTTACATTTTTTTTTATCATTTTAAAATTTATAGATTTGATTCAATATATCTTTTACTATATAATAAATTGCAATATATGATAGGTTTATTTACATGAATGTTATTTATTTTTAGCTATGTATCTATGAATCATCCATATTTCATTTTAACGCATATAAATAATGCATTTATTTATTCACGTATCCTACTGTACCATTTCGTATTTTTTTATATTTTACTATATTACCATATCCATATTGTACTGTACCCTTATTTTGTATTCATATTCGTATGTGTATCCGTATCCATGCTTCCTAGCAATTTACCAATTCCAAAAATGAAACTGCAATTAAAATCTTGTTTGGTATTGGGCAGATCCATTACATACCAAATTATGTTTCTTGGTGTTCCTTGACTACCCTAATGAAATTTTAGAAATTACCTTTTAAAGCGACTTACACTTTGGTCCACAATCGCTTGTGTGCTTCTAGCAAAACACAGGCAATTGAAAGATACAATCACCTAAACTTCAAATTTGGAATCAACACAAGTTTTGGTTCTTTGCATTGAATTCCCATTTGTTATGTATTTCTTCTTTTCAATATGATGTTGAATTTTATAAAAAAATTAATTTGATGTTCAATAAGACTAAAGATTATACTACACTCTGTTGACTCCTAAGAAGCACAGACACGGACATGGACAGGCAGATACGATATTTCTAAAAATGCAAGATACGGACACGCTAAAGATAAATGTTTGTTATAGGGATAATGATATACTATTTATAAAAAATTTTAAACTTTATGATAAGTAAATGTTATGTCTAGTCATCTAATGTGAATTTTTAGAGTAAATCATCATAATATTCAAATAGTCATAAATGCTTTTGTAGACAACATGGTTTTATGATTATTCTCATTTTCTCAATTCCTCTTGTTCAAAACTTTTATGCATCTTTTGTTTTTATTATTATATTTCGAATATAACTTTAATATGTTTAGTCTTGGTAATTATATGTTCTCTCATAATATAAAATATTTATTCATCAAATTTTATGTTTTATTAGTCATGTGTCAACACATGTTTATTGTTTTCTAGTAGATATGGTCTAAAAACATATCGGACTCATTACTAAAAAAGTGTCGGATGCATGTCTGAATTTAAGATTTTATCATTTAATTATAGACACGGATAAAACAGTATCGGATACGTGTCCAAGAGTTTCCAAGGAGTATCGGTATCCGACATGGATATGTTACCTTTTTAAGAGTGTCCGTGCTTCATAGGACTTGCCTCACTTTCCTCCTATTTTTGGGTCAAAATGATTGTCGTATAAAATTATAAAATTGTAGTTTATAAGCTGAATAGGTTAGAAACACGACAAGCATCTTATTACCATGATTATTGCCCCCCTTATAATGGAATTAATTTAACTTCAAGTGTATATGTTAGGGTTTAGTCATATTCATTTCATGTTATAATTCGCTGTAGCACTTCTTGTTTTTCTATACTTGTATAAGTCTTTCTCTCATTCATTTTTTCATTTTTTCATGTATTCATTGATTCTTTCTTTGCGGAAACCACCTCTTCACATGCAGACGTAAGGTTGCGTAGTATGCGTACATTAGGCCCTCTCTAGACCCCGTAGTGGCGGCAACTTCCTGCATTGGGCCACTTTAATTCTTTCTTTCTTTTTGGCTAAATATGTCATAGTATTCAATTTCACACAATTAAAATTGCAATTAGGTGGTTAACTTTTGCACGGTTTTTGGTGGAAAAATTTCTTCTATTTTCTACAATCTCTGGAAAAAAAAATAAAATTGTGCAGGTTTACCAGTATAATCCAATATAATTTCAGTGTCTTGTTTTCCATGGTTATTTTATCGTTTGGTTAAATTGTTGTCATTGTACTTTTTTTCTTAACGACAATTGTACCCTCTTCCCTGCCATGGGCTTTGACTATCTTGAAACTGTACTTTAGTGAACTACATCCAAGCCTCCATGAAAGCGCAAATTTGGATCTAGTTAATTAGTCTATTTACCATGTTTGAATGTGCAACTTCAAATTCGATTTGCTTAGTATTTTGAAAATGATTTTTTGACTTTTTAACTTCTTCTATACATTACATTATGTTTCGGAAAATAAAACAAAAAAATCAAGAGACTTGTTAAATGTAAAATATCAGCAGATCCTCTGATAAATGTTCTTTTAAACATTATCATTATGCTCTAGATAATATTGAAAAAAAAAAAAAGAGACTTGTGCCCTCTTTTTCTGCCAGCTTATTTTTTATTTTCTTTTGTGGTGAAAATTGTTGTTTATTTTTCTTTTCTAAATATAATATAATAGAAGTCGGTATCTTGCCTTTTTTAAAGGGGAATTCTGGTATTTACCTGGGAAAAAAATAGAGTGAAAATAGTATTAAACAATATTATGCCAGCTATTTTGCAGGGTGAGGATTCGGCTTCAGGTGAACATAAGCTTGGACCAAATGATGGGAGAAGATCTTATACATTATTTCAAGGTCATTCTGGACCTGTTTACTCGGCCGATTTTAGTCCATTTGGGGATTTTCTTCTGTCCTCTTCATCAGATTCAACAAGTATGTTTTCCTCAGCTGTCATGTAGCTTCTTGTTTCGCCTGTCATCTTTCTAGTCAAAGCGTTGCTTCTAGCTAGTTGAAGTTCAATTTTGTGCTTTAACATAAATTGATATCAGTTCTGAAACTACTGTATAACTTGAACTATGTTACGATGCTGCAGTTCGATTGTGGAGCACTAAATTAAATGCCAATCTCGTCTGCTACAAGGGTCATAATTACCCTGTATGGGATGTTAAGGTATAATATTTGCTCTCTGTTTTTTCTTGGTCATGTAATATGTGGCTTGGAAACTTGAAAATGTGCAAGAAACTTTCCTGCTTGCGAAGATGCCATCACTATTATCATGTTTTACTCGTCAAAAGCAAGAAATGCAAACCAACATTATCTTGCTTTATTTATGAAAAACTTAAAGAGAAACCTGTGTAAAATGATTGTTGCTACCCTTTTTCTCCATGTTGCTGATATTGTTTTTTCATTTTCTGTTTTGTGGATGACATCCGCTGTCTTTCTCACAATTAATTGATGCATTTCTTGCTTATACTTATTTATTAGCTCTCTTATATTTCATTCAAAAGACTGGAAAGTTTCTTCTCAGTTTTATTCTTTGTTGATGTTGGAGAAGCTTGATTTGAATCAGACCTTTCTGAAATTAGTTGCAGAACTCATATTTGATATTTTAAATAAGTAGAGATTATATTGATAGAAGGACGTCACAACTCACAAGGATCTGCATAAACTGGATCCCAAGGTGCATTGCGCTTCTGTGGACTGGAGAGGACCTGGCCAAGGTGGTTTTCTACCACGCGTGCGCTCAGCCATGCACCCTGACCTGACGTGGCTTTGCTCAGTCTTGGGTTACATATAAAAAGGCTCTGCATAAACTGGGATAACCAGACAAAGGGTCTTTCTTTTTTATTACACATGCTGGAAATGGATAATGTGGCATTCATAATGTAACACATTATATCACTGATTTGTTGTACATTCTGAAGTGCCTAGGCAACTTGTTTAAGACATTTCATACGGGCACCGTGAGATTCTTTAGACTATTACTTGTTCTGATGTCCACAATAATTTTTTAGGGACTTGAACATACTTGGTCTTTGAGAGGAATTTTATGTGTGGAATACATTTAGTTTTTTTGCCTTTTCTTTTCCTCTCTCCATTACCTGTCCCGCGTATGTTGATGCACATGTACCCATGAATGCTAAGTTGTAGCATGCAAATACACATTTCACATATCAGCTAATCTCATGTCCTTTTTGTTTTTTCCCCTGATTGCAGTTTAGTCCAGTAGGACATTATTTTGCCAGCTCATCACATGACCGAACCGCAAGGATTTGGTCTATGGACAGAATACAGCCTTTAAGAATAATGGCAGGGCACTTGTCTGACGTTGATGTGAGTGTGTTCTTGTGTTTCATCTCTCTCTCTCTCTGATATATGTACGTGTATTTATATATGTATTTATTTATTGTACATACCTGCCTATATAGATGTTGAAATATAAGTTTTTGTTGGATGCTATGTCCAATCTTGGATGAGTAAGTCATTGCTCCAAGCACTTCTTGACTTGGCCTTTAAATTTCTGGGCATTCCTGAATCCCTAAATATTTGACTGAGTTATGCATATGACTTGTATTTAGACTATTTGTTCTGTGCTTATGTGATTTGAATTAGTGAGGAAAGGACAATAATCAGTAAGAAGAAAATAATTGAATTATGAAAATTAGCACTTCATCTTGTCCCAGAAAAAGAGACCGAGAGAGAGAAATGCAAATTAATTGGGTGGAGATCAAGTAAAGTTCATCTGCACCTACAATTTGATCCTTTTATATTCCCTTTGAAAAATTTCAGTGGTGCAGCTGAGGTTTATTTTGTAGGGCGCTGCCCTATATTGGGTTGAATTTTTTGTACAAGTCCTTTGTTTTACTTGTTACTTCTTTACAGATGTTTAAGGCCTAAGCAAATGGACATCAGGCAATCATCACCGTCTTCGTTGATATCATATATGAAAGGTGAAAGATCCTTCCAGCCATTAGTCTGATTGATCTTTTGTGATTTGGCTTCCTCGCAATTCAACCACACCCTATCACAAAATTATTTGGGATAAATCTTATGCAGACTCCCTGACTTTAGGTCAAATAACACGGACACCCATTGAGATTCTAAAAATGGCATGGTGACCTCAATTGGCATAGATAATTCACTAGCGTTTAAATTAGAGTATGATACCGTTAAGAGTTTCGGGAAGAGAGGAAGAGAGAGAATGAAAAAATATGAGAAGATAGTAGTGTGTTAGGGTATGCAATTACATCCCAATATATATATAACCTCAATGTACCAAAAATGCCGTTAAGGGTCACATCATATATAACATAACACACCTCTTGGTGCATAAATGTCTCTCTTGCTTAACTTGTGAATGATAGAATGAAAACATTTGCTACTAAGCTCCTTTGTGAAAACATCAGCCAATTAATTTTTGATTTCACAAAGAGCATGCAAATCAAACCCCTATTCAGTTCAATTTTTCTTTGATGAAGTGTCGATTAATCTCAACACCTTTAGTTCTATCATGTTGAACTGAATTGTGTGCAATGTTAATAGCTGCTTTATTATCATAGTACAGTCTTATAGGCCCATCATCACTACGAATTTTGAGCTGACTTGGTAGGATTTGGAGCCACATATGCTCACAAACTCAATGGGTCATTGTTCTATATTTAGCCTTTGCACCAGACCTAGCTACCATCGCTTGCTTTTTACTTCCCCATATGACGATATTTCCTCCCATCAAGGTGCAGTCGGGTGAAGTGCATCGTTTGTCATCTACTGAACCTTTAAAGTCTACATCAGTGAATGCTTTTAGCTTCAAGTGACCATTATTAGAGAATAAGATCTCTTTCTCGGGGGCTGACTTGAGACACCTCAAAATATGGTAAACAGCTTCAAGAAGAGGGACTTGAGTACCATGCATGAATTGATTTATAACTCTAACTACATAAGCAATATCTAACCAAGTATGAGAGAGAAATTAATCTCCCTCCTAATCTTTTGTATCTCTCTTTATCCACAACATCACCAACTCCATTCACCTGTCGATGATTGACTTTAATAGGGGAATTTGTAGGTCTATATCCCAACATATCAGTTGTTTCAAGTAGGTCAATAACATATTTTCTTTAGGAGATGAAAATATGTCTTTGTCTAATCTGGCAACCTCAATCCCAAAAAAATATATCAATATGTTTTGTAATGTTTCAATGCAATTGCATAATTATTTTAAAATATTTTAAGGTATTTTAAGATATTTTGGTATATTTCGACTAATGTTTTGAAAAAATAATTCTTAATATTTTTATTTTTTTATTTTATTTTCGAAACAGGTCGAAACGTTTTCTTCAACTTATGTACCTTTCCTTCAGTTACTTGAGTTGAAAAATCAGGTGAAATCTCCATGTATATCTCCTCCTCCAAATCTCTATGGAGAAAGACATTTTTCACATCCAACTGTTGCAGGTGTGCACAGAAGGGCACGTATGTAGTTCATCTTTGCAAAAGGGTAAAAGTTTCCTGATAATCAATGTCATATGTCTGAGTGAATCCCATAGCCACCAGTCTTGCCTTGTATCTTTCAACTGAACCATTGGTTTGTTGTTTAACTGGGAACACCCATTTGCACCCAATTGCTCTTGCACCAATTGGAAGTGGAGCTAATTCCATGTGTCTTTTTTTAGGGTTCTCATTTTCTCTACTATAGTTTCTCACCACTTTGGATGAGTGAGAGCTTCGTTCCAACTTTGAAGAATAGAGATAGATGACAAATAAGAAACAAAGGTACAAAAGATAGAGACAATGAATCATTAGAAACAAAGTTAGATGTGTGGTGTTGAATACAAGTTTGAACACCTTTCCTAATTGCAATAGGAAAGCCCAAAATCATCAATAGTTGAATTATCAATAACCAAGGATTAAAATATTAGAAACTTTCTATTTTTAAGGGGATCGAAACGAATCAGTGATAGAATCGATATTCTAATATTTCAAGGTATTTCATAACGTTTTGAGATGTTTTATAATATTTCAATGTATTTGTATAATTGTTTTGGAATGTTTTAAGATATTTCAAAATATTTTGGCCAATATTTTAGAAAAATTATTCTTAAATTTTTTTTATTATGTTTCCAAAACGGGACGAAACATTTCTAAAATATGTCCAAACGTTTCCGTTTTCGTTTCCTAGATGATCAAAACAATATACTGAAACGAAATTTTAATACTTGTCAATAACCTAGGTATTGGAACTGGAAGCTCATTACTTAGTGAATCAGTAGGACGTGCTAGAACTGGAGTAGAGGAATTCAATTGACCCAGAAGCACATGAGTACTCTGTACCTTTTGACGTTGAGAGCAAGTCTTCAGAGTACCAGGTGGATCATTAGTACCAACAATTTGTTGCTCCCCCTTATTACTAAAAGCAATTAGAAATGGCTCCCGACATGCCATCTCTTCCTCAATAGCAGTGTTTTCCCCTGAAGAGATGGTTGAGGAGGAGAGAAAAAAATATTCAAACCCATGAAAGGTGACATACATGCTAACATACATCTTTTGAGACGGAGGATGGTAGCACTTATACCCCTTTTGAGTAAGATAATAACCAACAAAGACACACCGCAGAGCCTTAGGAGCAAGTGTCCCTCTAGATGCTCTATAGTCATGTACAAAACAGATACACTCAAAAACTTTAAGAAGAAGAGAAGAAACAGAAGGAATCAGTAAAATTCCAGAAAGACACTCAATATGAGACTTAAACTATAGGACACTAGAACGTAGATGATTAATAAGATAAGTCGTGGTAAGAATTACATTTTTCCAAAAATGCGGGAGGACATTCATATTAAACATCATTGAACGAGCAATCTCAAGAAGAAGGTGATTTTTTAGCTCTGCAACACCATTTTGTTCTGGGGTAGTCACATAAGTAGTTTGATAAATGATGCCACTTTCATTAAGGTAAGAGCGA